AAAGACATCTCGAAATTTCAGCCAATTTCACCTTCGTCAATGAACCTGCAAAAATGGCAAATCAGAGGGTAGCAAAAGCTCTCAATCTGCTGCAGTTTTCGCTGCCGAAGAGCAGCTATTTTAACCTGAAATCAACAAGTCTGTTGAAGTCAAGGTTAGAAGACGTGAATAGATGGGCATCTAAGAAGAAGAACGGTGAACTCCAAGGCTTAGCTTATGACATCAAAGAGATGTTTAGTAAGCTGCCCCATGAATCCATTAGGATGTCTATTGATTGGATTTTGGGGAAATTTTCGCAGAAGGGAAGGAAGTTCGTAATGGTGAAGTCGAGGGGAAAGGGGGTTTTGTTTGGAAGTAAGAAAGGTGAGGATGGATGGGTGAGTGTAGATTTCGGTTTAATTAAAGAGATGGTGAATTTTGACTTGGATAACACATTTTTGTGGGCTTCTGACCGGCTTGTGAGGCAGAAGGAGGGCATACCTATGGGAAAATCAAGCAGTCCTCCTATCGCGTGCATCCTCTGTGCCTTCTATAAGAGTCAATTTTTGGAAAGTCTAGGAAGGGATGTGGCTTTGGTGAAAGGGATTAGGCTGGTAGATGATGTGTCGCTGTTTGTGTGGCGAAGTTGGGAGAAAAAGAAGAAGGATAAGGCATGTAGCATCATCGAGAGATTTGAAAGATCGTATGACCCCAAACTCATCTTGAAAATAACTCATGATGGGCTGAATGAGTGGGGCTTCTTGGGATGCAGAGTTAGAATCGATGATGGTACCGTGTCAAGTTGGTACCGAGCAAAAAACTTCTCATAAATTTGGGAAGACGGTCCGAAACTGAGGTACAAGTGCTTTCAAGATTTCCACTCATACACCTGTACGAAGCAGAAGCGTACCCTGATTAATGGAATGTTGCGTAAGATGAGGGAATGTACTACGCATTTGGACAGGGCGGTAGAAGGGCTGCTCTCGCTGAATCGCGAACTGAGGAAGCAGTCCTTCCCCCCTGACCTCTTTGAGAAGACTCTGTGCCGCTTTGTCAGACTAAGTGCCCATGACTGGATGCTGATAGCACGACAAGTAACCTTTGACATTAGGACCRTTGATTGGGACAGGTGATGTGTCTGACACTATGAAGTGGCTGTTGTATTGCCCACAGGCGTGTTGTTTGGCCTTTCTTTTCCTTTGCYTATTTCGTTTTGGGGTTAGCCTTTTCAGGAGAGGATTGTAAGGGTTTGGCCGTCACGRCTCTTCTGTATCTGGGTTTTTTATTTTGAACCCAAGTGGAGTCTTTCGACCTCTTGATTATTTACCTTCGCTTTTTGTAGGTCGTTTTTTTACGGCTTCGAACTTGGGCAAAATTTTTGTTTTTTATAATCCTTTTTGTCTGCGATTTTCCTTTTGCTCATTCTTTTACCCGAACTCAAGCAGTTTTTTCGGCGTAGAACTCGAGCTGATTCTTCTGGGACATTCGATTTGTCGTTTAGTTAGGGGTAGTCAGTAGAAGCTAAGTGAATTGTTAGCGAGACTATTAATAATACCTTAGCAAGTTGAGTAGACCTCTTCAGTCGTCGAAACATAAACGAAACAGCGTGTGTAGGACGTACTCCCGTTTCTCGCGCTCGTACACTTTGAATGCYGCGTTCTTCATGTTTTTATTTCTCAGCATTTTCAAAGCATTCGTTTGGTGTTTACGACTACGAAGTTGTCAACTCTCTTTTGTGTGTTAATCTGGAATGAACTAACTCGCTGTGTGTTTTCACGAAAACATCACACCGAACTGAATCCGCCTTTCCATTCTTTCTGTATTAAATCTGTGTGTTGAAGTAACCTGTGTATGAAGGTGTTTATATACATATATATATATATATATAAATATATATATATATATATATAAATAAGTAAATAAATATATATATATATATATATAATTTTTGCGGAGGTTAACCTGTATTAGGGTATCTCAACAACAACCTTGTTTGTTTCCCAGGTTAGGAAAATCAAGTTATACTCGTTGCATGCTTCCTG